GAGTTATTAAATGGAGAGTTAGAGGTATTGGGAAGATGGAGGGAATATTTTGAGGAATTGTTAAATGTTGATGAAGATAGGGAATCTGTGATTTCATGTATAGGGCAAGGAGGAATAACATCTTGTAGGAGTGAGGAAGAGACAGTTGTGAGTGTGGGGGAAGTTCGTGAGGCAGTAGGTAAAACGAAAGGGGGTAAGGCAGCTGAGATTGATGGGATGAAGATAGAAATGTTAAAAGCAGGTGAGGATATAGTTTTGGAGTGGTTGGTGCTATTATTTAATAAATGTATGGAAGAAGGTAAGGTACCTAGGGATTGGCAGAGAGCATGCATAGTTCCTTTGTATAAAGGCAAAGGGGACAAAAGAGAGTGCAAAAATTATAGGGGGATAAGTCTGTTGAGTATACCTGGTAAAGTGTATGGTACAGTTATTATTGAAAGAATTAAGAGTAAGACGGAGAATAGGATAGCAGATGAACAAGGAGGCTTTAGGAAAGGTAGGGGGTGTGTGGACCAGGTGTTTACAGTGAAACATATAAGTGAACAGTATTTAGATAAGGCTAAAGAGGTTTTTGTGGCAATTATGGATTTGGAAAAGGCGTATGACAGGGTGGATAGGGGGCAATGTGGCAGATGTTGCAGGTGTATGGTGTAGGAGGTAGGTTACTGAAAGCAGTGAAGAGTTTTTACGAGGATAGTGAGGCTCAAGTTAGAGTATGTAGGAAAGAGGGAGATTATTTCCCAGTAAAAGTAGGCCTTAGACAGAGATGTGTGATGTCACCGTGGTTGTTTAATATATTTATAGATGGGGTTAGTAAGAGAGGTAAATGCGAGGGTCTTGGCAAGAGGCGTGGAGTTAAAAGATAAAGAATCACACATAAAGTGGGAGTTGTCACAGTTGCTCTTTGCTGATGACACTGTGCTCTTGGGAGATTCTGAAGAGAAGCTGCAGAGGTTGGTAGATGAATTTGGTAGAGTATGTAAAAGAAGAAAATTAAAAGTGAATACAGGAAAGAGTAAGGTAATGAGGATAACAAAAAGATTAGGTGATGAAAGATTGGATATCAGATTGGAGGGAGAGAGTATGGAGGAGGTGAATGTATTCAGATATTTGGGAGTGGACGTGTCAGCGGATTGGTCTATGGAAGATGAGGTGAATCATAGAATTGATGAGGGGAAAAGGGTGAGCGGTGCACTTAGGAGTCTGTGGAGACAAAGAACTTTGTCCTTGGAGGCAAAGAGGGGAATGTATGAGAGTATAGTTGTACCAACGCTCCTGTATGGGTGTGAGGCATGGGTGATGAATGTTGCAGCGAGGAGAAGGCTGGAGGCAGTGGAGATGTCATGTCTGAGGGCAATGTGTGGTGTGAATATAATGCAGAGAATTCGTAGTTTGGAAGTTAGGAGGAGGTGCGGGATTGCCAAAACTGTTGTCCAGAGGGCTGAGGAAGGGTTGTTGAGGTGGTTCGGACATGTAGAGAGAATGGAGCGAAACAGAATGAATTCAAGAGTGTATCAGTCTGTAGTGGAAGGAAGGCGGGGTAGGGGTCGGCCTAGGAAAGGTTGGAGGGAGGGGGTAAAGGAGGTTTTGTGTGCGAGGGGCTTGGACTTCCAGCGGGCATGCGTGAGCGTGTTTGATAGGAGTGAATGGAGACAAATGGTTTTTAATACTTGACGTGCTGTTGGAGTGTGAGCAAAGTAACATTTATGAAGGGATTCAGGGAAACTGGCAGGCCGGACTTGAGTCCTCTTCTGAAGGAGGGGTGTTAATGTTGCAGTTTAAAAACTGTAGTGTAAAGCACCCTTCTGGCAAGACAGTGATGGAGTGAATGATGGTGAAAGTTTTTCTTTTTCGGGCCACCCTGCCTTGGTGAGACTCGGCCAGTATTTTGGCTTAAATAACAACACTCTCCTTGCTGAATGAGGCAAATGAAAATTTGTGTATGCAGTAATTTCGCAAAAATCATTCTCAACCTAACGAAAAATATATATTTCATAGCGGTTGTTTATTATTAAATTATTGTAAACTTATCTAAAATATATTTAGTTGAATTAGACTAGATTAAATTGCGCTTGTTAATATAAGGTTAGGTAAGTTTTCTAAGGTTCTTTTGGTACAAAATTATTAATTTTTACATAAACATAAATGAAAATATATATATATATTTAAACGTATAAGAGAAATTTTAGAAAGGATTTAATTTTAAATGAGTTCTTGCTAATTGACCAGTTTTACCTATTCGGCACGATATACATATATATATGTATATATAAGAGGATCCCAGAAGGGGGTCGAAATATACAGATCAATTAATCTCCTGAGTTTCCGTCACCATGTGGGTTATTACTGACCACTGACAATTGTTCATTACTCTTAATTATCCTGGACTTATGCTTACATTAAAACCGACACCAATGATATTCACACCATCTTCAGGAGGAGGGGAGTCTTGTTCCGAGGACCTGGATTCATTCTCTCCTCGTATCGAACTTAGATTTGTATGACCCATTGTATGTATCGTCTCCTACGGGCTTTGCGCATCTCCCTGATTAAAATAAATATCGATTACATTTAAATTTGCATGTGTCAGCTTTGATTTTCCAGTTAGTAGAGTGATTGACGGGTCTTACATGAAGCACTGGAACTATCAGAAATAGAGTACCATCTATGCTACTGTTTGTATGCTCCCATTCGGGTTTGCAGCTTGCAGGTGACACTATTGATTCAGAGTTTAAGCTGGATGCTCAGATTACCATCACGAGCACCACCACAACCACTACCACCACTACTGCTACCACCACCACCACTACTACTACCACCAGCACCACAACCAGCAGCAGCAGCAGCAGCCACACCACCACCACCACCACCACCACCACCACCACCACCACCACCACCACACCACTACCACCACCTTTATCAATACCACTACATACCACCAACGGCACCACAGTTATCAGTACCACCACCAGCACCACCGTTATGAATCCCACCACACACCACCACCAACACTACCGTTATCAATCCCACCACACACCACCACCACCAACGTTATCAATGCCACCACGCACCACCACCACCACCACCAACGTTATCAATACCACCACACACACCACCAACGTTATCAATCCACCACACACCACCACCAACACTACCGTTATCAATCCCACCACACACCACCACCACCAACGTTATCAATGCCACCACGCACCACCACCACCACCACCAACGTTATCAATCCCACCACACACCACCACCAACACCACCGTTATCAATCCCACCACACACCACCACCAACGTTATCAATCCCACCACACACCACCACCAACACCACCGTTATCAATCCCACCACACACCACCACCAACGTTATCAATGCCACCACGCACCACCACCACCACCAACGTTATCAATACCACCACACACCACCACCAACGTTATCAATACCACCACACTCCACCACAAACGTTATCAATGCCACCACGCACCACCACCACCACCAACGTTATCAATACCACCACACACCACCACCAACGTTATCAATACCACCACACTCCACCACAAACGTTATCAATGCCACCACGCACCACCACCACCACCAACGTTATCAATGCCACCACGCACCACCACCACCACCACCAACGTTATCAATACCACCACACACCACCACCAACGTTATCAATCCACCACACACCACCACCAACACCACCGTTATCAATCCCACCACACACCACCACCTCCAACGTTATCAATGCCACCACGCACCACCACACACCACCCCAACGTTATCAATCCCACCACACACCACCACCAACGTTATCAATACCACCACACTCCACCACAAACGTTATCAATGCCACCACGCACCACCACCACCACCAACGTTATCAATACCACCACACACCACCACCAACGTTATCAATACCACCACACTCCACCACAAACGTTATCAATGCCACCACGCACCACCACCACCACCAACGTTATCAATGCCACCACGCACCACCACCACCACCACCAACGTTATCAATACCACCACACACCACCACCAACGTTATCAATCCCACCACACACCACCACCAACACCACCGTTATCAATCCCACCACACACCACCACCTCCAACGTTATCAATGCCACCACGCACCACCACACACCACCCCAACGTTATCAATCCCACCACACACACACCACCAACACCACCGTTATCAATCCCACCACACACCACACCAACGTTATCAATACCACCACACTCCACCACAAACGTTATCAATGCCACCACGCACCACCACCACCACCAACGTTATCAATGCCACCACGCACCACCACCACCACCACCAACTTATCAATACACCACCACCACCACCACCGTTATCAATCCCCCACACACCACCACCAACGTTATCAATACCACCACACCTCCACCACAAACGTTATCAATGCCACCACGCACCACCACCACCACCAACGATATCAATACCACCACACACCACCACCAACGTTATCAATGCCACCACGCACCACCACCACCACCAACGTTATCAATACCACCACACACCACCACCAACGTTATCAATACCACCACACACCACCATCAACGTTATCAATGCCACCACGCACCACCACCACCACCAACGTTATCAATACCACCACGCACCACCACCACCACCACCACCAACGTTATCAATACCACCACACACCACCACCACACACCACCACCACACACCACCACCAACGTTATCAATACCACCACACACCACCACCACACACCACCACCAACGTTATCAATACCACCACGCACCACCACCACACACCACCACCAACGTTATCAATACCACCACACACCACCATCAACGTTATCAATGCCACCACGCACCACCACCACCACCAACGTTATCAATACCACCCCAACCACCACCACAAACTCCTTTCTGTGTACATTTCAGCTGATATTTAACTTGGATGTGTTGTTGATACACACACTTGACTGTGTGATGTACACAGGGTCGAGGTGGGTGGAGTGACGCCAGACACACGGACACAGCGTGGGTGGAAGTGTCGCTACGTGATGTGAATGACAACCCACCTCAGTTCAGCCGCCCACACGCCCACGTCACCGTCAGGGAGGACACCGCCCCTGGCACCCTCCTGGCTTCCCTCCCTGCCACTGATCCTGACATGGTGAGTAACCCAGCATTATCATCACTATCCTCATTACCATCACCACCATCATTACCATCACCACCATCATTACCATCACCACCATCATTACCATCACCACCATCATTACCATCACCAGTTACCTCATCTCTCCTTCATAAACTGGGTTAAACTAGACGAGAGCAACTAGCAGTAGTCGTAGTAGCTGTAGTAATAGTAGTAGTAGTATCAGTAGTAGTAGTATCAGTAGCAGTAGTATCAGTATCAGTAGTAGTAGTATCAGTAGCAGTAGTATCAGTATCAGTAGCAGTAGTAGTAGTATCAGTTGCAGTAGTAGTAGTATCAGTAGCAGTAGTAGTAGTATCAGTAGCAGTAGTAGTAGTATCAGTAGCAGTAGTATCAGTATCAGTAGCAGTAGTAGTAGTATCAGTAGCAGTAGTAGTAGTATCAGTAGCAGTAGTAGTAGTATCAGTTGCAGTAGCAGTAGTATCAGTAGCAGTAGTATCAGTAGCAGTAGTATCAGTAGCAGTAGTAGTAGTATCAGTAGCAGTAGTAGTAGTATCAGTAGCAGTAGTAGTAGTATCAGTAGCAGTAGTAGTAGTATCAGTAGCAGTAGTAGTAGTATCAGTAGCAGTAGTAGCAGTAGCAGTAGTAGTAGCAGTAGCAGTAGTAGAAGTTCCTTGTTGTCAGATGACGTCTGCCATTAACACTTTCAGAAGGCTTCTCACTTATATTTCAGAGATAATGAAGCTGCCTTTGTTCTGTGTAACTGTGTCTGAAATGGAGACTAATGATGCTTCAAGGTATTTTTGTTTGCGGGTGACTGCTTCCTTGATCACTCAGTGAGCCTCATTCCATTTCATCAGGTTGTTGGTGATGCACCAGTTTTGTACAGGATGTCCTGCTTGTCGCACCGACATACGTAGATGTCTCTATTTAGCTGTATTCCCAAGTTTAACGATCTTCATAAGGAATTATGTAAATCCATACGTTGACTGGTTCAAGGTTCTCTACTTCGGTCCTAGTGAGGTCTTTAATGGATGTGTTGGTCGCTGTGGCGACTCTAATGTTGCATTTGGAGAAGTTGAGGATAACTGGGCTGTTGGGAACGATGATAAATTTGCTCAAAGTGGTGGCAGTTAGTGAAGAATTGATGATGAGTAGGGGTCGTTTCTTGTTGTTTTTAAGAAGGTCAGGAAAATGTATCTCGGTGAGGACTGGTGTATGTAGGAGCGTTCCTCTTCAGGAATTCGAGACTGCAGATGCGTGAAGCTCTCTAAGAAAAAAGCTGATACTGATGCCTCGTTTAATCTTGGTATTTTGACTGGGGTAGGAATAAGGTAATTTTTTGTGTTTGTAGACCTCGTGTAGATTTGGAATTTCAAGACGTTATCTACTTTGTGGATGCAGACGTCGAGGAGTGGTAAGCTGTCACTGGTTCTCTCGTCAAGCTTGCACTGGGCTGTTGGTTCTTCTTGTTGATTTTTTTCTTTTAATGTTGCTGGGATAATGTTGACAATGCTCTGCTTCTAGGTGTTCCATATATATGTTCGCCAAGTCAGTCCTGATGGAGAAACCCCTAACCACTCTGTATGTTAGTAGAGGATATCTGAAGTGCAATAATTCCCGGGAGGCAGAAGAAGAAAAGGGCTCTGGTTGACTTTATGTCAAAGATCGCATGTGTGGTGGGGACCTTTGTAAAAAAAATAGTAGCATAAAGACAACTTAGGTTCTCCTTCCGGACTGAGTTGTCTTTACTGCTGCTGAGGTTCCCAGGAGACAAGGAAATCATTGTCGAAGACTTCGGATAATTTATGTGGTGTACTTCCTATACCTGGTGTGACTTGTGTTCGGGGGGGGGGAGGGGCTTGCGCAGTCCATACGTGGTGTGTTGTGTGTGTGTGTGTGTGTGTGTGTGTGTGTGTGGTGTGTGAGGGTTTAGGGTTACTAGGCATTGAGTACAATGCGCTTGAGTATTTTATGGATTTTGAATAGGAAGTGCTTGGAGAGTCTCCCACTGCAGTGTGCTGAGAGGCATTCATATATAGACTGGTCAGTCGTTCAGGAGGTTCATCATCTGAGTATTTTAGGTGACGGAGTCAAGCATGGCAATTCCTTCCCTTTGTTGGCCATGGTGATGACAGTGAATCACGATTGCAATACTGTGTTGCAGAAGGGCAGTGACGTACAGTCTGGGAAGATTAACAGTGGAAGGTTCCACTCAGGGCTGTGGTGAAACTGCTCTGTACCGTATATAACGTTTACAGCAGCTGCTGCGAGTGTTTTTGTGATTCCTGCTGATCAAGTCCAGTTGCTGGTTTGGTATGCGTGGGATCGTAATGAGTTTGAGTCGTAGGCTCAGTGCTTGCTTCCCATTGACGGTTAAGGGGATTACGATAAGCTGTTAAGGAAGGCTTCTTCATCTGTCTCCTTCCATCGGCTGTTTCACAAGAACTGAAAATTGTGATTGTGTCTGACTTCTATTGGAGGTTGACCTTGGTGACATAATTAATGCTCCAGTTTGAACAAAGTTATCATCCTTCCCAACAGCCTTGAATTCACTCGCACAAGACAACACTAGTCATCCTAGCAACAGCAACAGTGACCTCACCAGGATCAAAGTGGAGAACCTTGATCCAGTCAACATGTCTGAAGAACGGCATCTACTCGTGAAGATGTGACAACATGAGCAACACATATGTACAACACTGGTATACTGGCAGCAGCTACTTCTTGAGATGGAACGACACTCGTATAGCGATTAAGGAACCAAACACCAGCAAACAAAAATGCCTCGATTTGTCATTAATCTTCGTTTCAGAGATAAAGAAACAAAGGAAGCTTCATGACTCAAGAAATCGTAATGACACGATTGCAAACAAACCATACCCCCGGCCGGGATTGAACCCGCGGTCATAGAGTCTCAAAACTCCAGCCCGTCGCGTTAGCCACTAGACCAGCTAGCCACAATAAGATTCATCCAACTAGGTATATTTCTACACCATAGGAAGGTTAGCACAGGCACCTCTGTGACCACAAATGCAAGTTTTTACAGACGAATCTCCAGCTTCATCTCTACTAACCACAAATCCTGTGAATTCCGCCATCACCTAAATCACTTCTACTACTGCTATTACTGCTAAATAAACCACGGAACGGATTGGAATTGAATCAATAGCAAGTGAGTCTCCTAAATCGCCAGGCCAGTGCGTAAGCCACTGAGCCAGCTGGCTACAATAAGATTCACCCAACTACACTTACATAGAGAAGCTCTACTGCAGTGCTCTTCTTCTTACTTGACTCATCTCATCATGTTTCCTCTTATACTCTCTGGGTAGCTATAATGAGTCTCGTTAGTTGTTTTTATGTCTTTTTTTTACCTAACATAAACAGCTAAGGCAGTTTAATGTCTCCGTCCACTGGCTGACTGGCAGTTTCTACCACACACTTGGCTACATCACAGTATTCATGGAGGAACTCCTAGTAGCTTTCATGACTGACACAATACTGCATTTAAGCTGTGAGTTTGCTGTGTCTGTTACTCCGTCTCCCTGACCCACGTTCCTGTCTCCCTGACCCAAGTTGGTGTCTCCCTGACCCACGTTCCTGTCTCCCTGACCCAAGTTGGTGTCTCCCTGACCCAAGTTGGTGTCTCCCTGACCCAAGTTTGTGTCTCCCTGACCCAAGTTGGTGTCTCCCTGACCCAAGTTGGTGTCTCCCTGAGACACAACCTCCTGTTTCACTGATGGCTACACCGTTTCATATATATATCAATAACAATACTGCACTAGCCAAGGACTCGAGCCCATGCTGCTTTGGCCTGCCTCATGGTGGGCGAAAACACATGACGCCCTTATCCACTGGACCATACGATCCTTAAGAGTAGCTTATCCAGCGGAACTGGATGTTGTACTCGCTACCCAAGGACACACGATGGTGTGGATGGTGTGGAGGCAGGCCAAAGCAGCAAGGGTTCGAGTCCTTGGCTAGTGCAGTGTTGTTATTGATCAATACCACTCGTTCGTGATCACACTAATATATATATATATATATATATATATATATATATATATATATATATATATATATATATATATATATATATATATATATATATATATATATATATATATATATATATAAATGTGTGTGTGTGTGTATTTATGTGTGTTGTCTTTACGCATTCTAGGAGCTAAGCTCTACCTCATGGACCCTTTTAATTTTCGGTAATATATCGTAATTAAATTCTCGCAGAGTTTGTTTTCAAACCTGGAATAAAGAAAAATTCTGTGCCCTTTCCTGGATAATTCTGTGTCCTCTCTTACAGGTGTTGCTCTAGTGGTGAAGTGACAGGTGTTGCTCTAGTGGTGAAGTGACAGGTGTTGCTCTAGTGGTGAAGTGACAGGTGTTGCTCTAGTGGTGAAGTGACAGGTGTTGCTCTAGTGGTGAAGTGAAAGGTGTTGCTCTAGTGGTGAAGTGACAGGTGTTGCTCTAGTGGTGAAGTGACAGGTGTTGCTCTAGTGGTGAAGTGACAGGTGCTGCTCTAGTGGTGAAGTGACAGGTGTTGCTCTAGTGATGAAGTGACAGGTGTTGCTCTAGTGGTGAAGTGAAAGGTGTTGCTCTAGTGGTGAAGTGAAAGGTATTGCTCTAGCGGTGAAGTGACAGGTGCTGCTCTAGTGGTGAAGTGACAGGTGTTGCTCTAGTGGTGAAGTGACAGGTGTTCCTCTAGTGGTGAAGTGAAAGGTGTTGCTCTAGTGGTGAAGTAACAGGTGTTGCTCTAGTGGTGAAGTGACAGGTGTTGCTCTAGTGGTGAAGTGACAGGTGTTGCTCTAGTGGTGAAGTAACAGGTGTTGCTCTAGTGGTGAAGTGAAAGGTGTTGCTCTAGTGGTGAAGTGACAGGTGCTGCTCTAGTGGTGAAGTGACAAGTGTTGCTCTAGTGGTGAAGTGACAGGTGTTGCTCTAGTGGTGAAGTGACAAGTGTTGCTCTAGTGGTGAAGTGACAGGTGTTGTTCTAGTGGTGA